AACAGGGTCCAAGTGAATCTGGAGTAGTCATCCACTATCATAAAGATATATCTTTTTCCTCCTCTCCCTGTCACCCTCATAGGTCCACATAGATCCATATGAAGAAGATCAAGTGGCCTTGAGGTGCTAACTTCTTTTTGGGGCTTGAAAGAGGATCTGACATACTTTCCTTTTACACACGCATCACACACCTTGTGTTCCTTGAAGCTTGACTTGGGCAGACCACGAACCAGGTCCTTCTGGACTAGTTTGTTCAGTAGTGAAAAGCTTGCATGCCCCATCCTTTTGTGCCATAATTCGACATCATCATCAACAGCTCTTAGACAACTGAGATCACCACTGTGCAGGGACTCAAAATCAGCAACATAGATGTTCTTGTATCTCTTGGCCACTAACACCACTTCACCAGTCACAAAATTTGTGCATATTTTTGAAACAAATTCCACCTTGTTTCCCTTGTCACATATCTGAGAGACACTCAACAGGTTGTACTTCAGACCATTGACATAGTACATATTTTCAATGGAGTAAGAGAGTGACTTGTCAATCATTCCAACTCCCAAAATGTATCCATTTTTGCCATTTCCAAAGGATACACTCCCTCCTTGTAGTGCCTTTAGTGAAAGGAAATCGTTTGTACTTCTAGTCATGTGCTTTGAGCAACCACTATCCATATACCATTGTTGGCTGCTCCCCTTCACTGCTCCCTGCACAAGGAAATCAAAGGTTAGATTTAGGAACCTAAATAAGTTTGGGTCCCTTGTAATAAGAAAAAGGATGAATGAGAGTTCTTTTGGTCCAAGCAGGAATCATGCGTCTTTTATATGAGGGACCAGGTTCTCTATCAGTAGTTACCTTCTTAGCAAACACTTTGTTCTTCTGATGAGACTGAAACTTAGCCTTACAGGTTTCCTTAAAGTGCTAGTGTTACCACAGTGAGTGTAGAGCCATTGTCATCTCTACACTTGAGTGATTTTTCAAGATCACTCTTGACTCTACCTAGTTCTTCCTGAAGTTGTTTGTTCTTCTCAAGTTCAGCACACAGACTAGTTTTCACCGATTTTATCTGATCTTCAAGCCCAAGATGTATTTCATCCACAACTTTCTTTCCCTTTTGAAAAATCTCATGCTTACCTTCTCCTTTAAGTTCCTCAATTGTATCATTTAGATCTACAACTATTACTAATAGATCATCTCTCTCATTCTCTATGCTAGCAACTATTTTGGTCAAGACATCTTTTTCTTCTTTCAAACTCTCAATAGTTTCTTTCAAATCTACCACAACGACTACTAGGTCATCTCTAGATTGTTCTGCTTCTCCTAATTCCATAAGTAGAGCATTTTTATCACTTATAAGACTGTGGTATGTATCTATTAACATATTTGCTAAATACATGAGTTTTTTAGAAGAATAAGATTTCAGATTTCTCTGAACATCCAGAAAATTTACCTCATCATCGTCGTCGTCGCCTTCATCATCATCAGATTGAGCCATCAAGGCAAAAATAGAGTCATACTCAGTTGCTTCACTTTCTACTACCATCATTGAATTATCACCGTGATTATTATCTTCTTCAAATTCGCTGGATAAGTCTCCCCATGCAGCAAGAACTTGCTTCACAACATTGTCAGCGACGTTCTTTCTCTTGAAGCGTTTATCAGGAACTGGGTTCCTCTTGGCTGCTTTGTCTGTGTTGTGCTTGAATTGATCTTGCTTTAGGAGGGGACAGTCCTTGATGAGGTGTCCTGGCTTGCCACATTTATGACATAGGTCACAATTGTTTGGCTTGCTAGAACTGCCCATTTTTGGAATGCTTCCATTTCTGCTAACCATTTTCTGAAATCTTCTTGTCAAGTAAGCCATATCACCATCCTCACTACTTGAATCATTATTGTCTGTCTTGAGGAGCAGGTTCTTATATCTTTGGGCTTCTTCTTTCATTGTCCTTCTTTTTCTTCATTTCATATGTTTTCAGATTGCCAACAAGTTCATCAATGATCAGCTTCTGCAAGTCCTTTGCCTTTATGATAGCGTTCACTTTGCTTTCCCAGGAACTGGGCAGTACACTAAGTATTTTCCTGAAAAGTTTGTTTCTTGGAATAATTTCTCCAAGAGAGTGAAGCTCATTGATGATAGATGTGAAGCGAGTATGCATGTCCTGGATGGATTCATCATCCTTCATCCTGAAGAGCTCGTATACAGTTGTGAGCATGTCGATCTTGGATTGCTTGATCTGTGTTGTTCCTTCGTGAGTTGTCTGGAGAGTTCCCCATATTTCTTTGGTAGACTGGCATGCCAATATCTTGTTGTATTCATCAAGACCAATGCCACAAACGAGAATTTTCTTTGCACGAAAATTCTTTTCTATGGCTTTTCGGTCGACGCCATTGAATTTTTTTCTTGTTTTGGGAATGGTTACAGCAGGGTCGCCACTGGTTTTTATGGGAACGAAGGGTCCATCATAGATGACGTCCCAGAGCTTGGAATCTTCAGCCACGATGAAGTCGTGCATCCTGATCTTCTACCATCCATAATACTAGCCATTGAACCTTGGTGGCCTGTAGGTAGACTGACCTTCTTCAAAGTTTGGTGGAGCAGCCGTGAGGATCCTTTATAGGTGTTAGCCTGATAGAAAGAACCTGCTCTGATACCAATTGATAGAATTCGAGAGTCCACCAAACTATATAGAGAACCAGGTTCTCTATTAGTTTCCCCAAATTACGCACACATAACAGTAAGTAAATGACACTGAGAGTTTTTAGGTGGAAAATTCCCAACTCACGGGATTAAAAACCACGACCTACCCTTGTAGGATTTCAACTTTACTACTGAGCAAACTTTTAGATTACAGCCTATTGTAACCTAGGAATTAACCTCTTAATCCCTCACTAACTTGTAACAACTCTATTACAAGCCACTTTGTAATAACTTTATTACAAAGACTTTACAACTCGACTAACTCTAGCCAAGACACAAACACAAGGGCTTATGATTTACAAAGGGTTTCCTACATAATACTTCTAAGTAAGCTAAGTAGGAATTACAAGTAAGAACGTTTACAAAGGTACAACTAAACTAAGGACATATAATAACTTAATATGAGGAACTAGTCCGTAGCAGTGTTGTTCTTTGTTCTTGATGCACTTGAGAATCATTTTCAGGATGATCAATCACTGTGGGAGTGCTTGAGTGAATTCTCTAAGTGTTCAAGTAATGTTTTATCTTTGGTTTAATGTTAGGGTAACATTGATGACATCACTTGAATGATGTAAGCAACTTGAGTACAAGATCCTTCCCAATTGAGTTGACTGCTGCACTGTGCTGTACTGTTGCGCGAGCAGACAGCCACTTTCCAGCCGTTGGAGGGTTGACTGTTCCCCTTGTTGATTCTTTAGCTTCTTAAAGACTGACGAACCTCTCAAGCTTAAGTCTGGTTATTTCCACATGCTTGAGAATGTGCATCAGGTTCTTTATCTGGTTCTTGACATTAAGTTTGTTAGATCATCAAAACATAAAATAAGGTGCTTATAACCTATCAGAAAATCACTAAAATTTTAAAAAGAATATAATTTTGAACCTATAATTTTAAAAGTGTAATGGGTTCATTGTAAGACAATATAGTTAAATTCGTCAAACATAAATTCTAGATTCACCTCTTTATCATAGTGCACCCATCCATTTGAAATTCTAGTTCCACTTTTGTTAAGTCAAACTTGTAATATTATTTCGGACGAAAAAGAAGGTCGTGTAAAATTTATGTTTCGTTCTTGTTTTGATTGTTTTTAAATTATATTAACTATATACACAGTACATGTATAATGCAGCTATTTTGTGTCTGATTATGAAGTTATAAATCTTCTTGTCTAGCATAATACATGGTTATAGTTAATCATGAAGGGGAAAAGAAAAGAACTTACAAGAACAAGAGGACTAGTGCTTTACGTCAAAAATTAGAAGTTGATTGTTACAGTGTTAGCTTTTGCCATGTAGAAGTAACGTGAGTTAAGAACTGTAAGGATGTTGGCTAGTTAATTTGGAATGATATATGTTTACCCGGAAAATGGATAACAATTGAATTTGTGTGTGATTTTAAGGATACATGATATATAATTNTGGTCCCATGAGGATATGACAGGCATCCTGATAGAGATAGTAGTACACAAGTTAAGCTTGGATCCCGGCATGGTATAAATAGAGAAAATATACATATCGGGCATCGAAATTAGCTATAAACGAAATAAATGTAAACCGAATGAATCAATCGGCCTAGACCCTCAAGTCTGATCACCCTCAAACTGAATGAAGGGTAAACTAATACAAGAATAAAATGACTGAATATTGGGAACTAGAAGAAAAGCAGTATCTTGCTTTTTTATTTTATATATCTATCCTTCTACAAATGATCAGACCCCCTTTATATAGCAGAGAAGTACTATTCTTAATAGAATTTCTAAATACAACAAGGAATCCTATGATAGATTAATTAATTGGCCTCTCCTTAATATGCGCCGGAATTTCCGCCGAGATTCTCGCCTAATTGCGGATATTCCGGCTTTCTATTTTTTGGCTCGATAAGCTTTCCTCGATCTTGGCCGATCTCGATCTTGATCGGTCTCTATTTTGCTCGTTCTCGACCTTTGATCGGTCTTTGGGTCACGGACTCGACAACCTCACTTCGCAATATGTCTCGATATTCACGAGGTTGAACTTTGCACGGTCATGTTCTACTTTCGATAAGTCACGTGAAAGGCAGGCTCGATTTTGACCGTATACAATGTACAAAGATATATTTGGGGCCATGTAAAAGCTTTCAGAACACGATGGAGGAAACTGAAAGCTACAAAACCTTGTGGATGAAAATTGTAAAAACTATTCGTAGAAATGGGATTTATAAGTTACATTCATGTGTATAAGTTGCCTAGGCTATTGCGATTTATGAGTCCTATGACTAATTGCGATTTATGATTACTCGCATTCTATTCATAACTAGCAGTGTATGTTTCGTATAGTTAAATGGGATTTATAAGCGGCATTCGCCAATGCTCCTGTCAACTCTCCCGTCAAAACTCTGTAGTCTGTACTGACTGTACCCCGCTCATTGATAAATCGTCCTTCCATCGCCATTGTTACTTCTTTCATTTCACTGCCTATTCTCTTCACAATATCCCAAGTATAAGTTTCGCTATAAATAGATATGGCACCGAAGAAGAAGAAGCCTCAATCATCCTCATCCAAAGGCAAAGCTTCTTCTTCTTCCACTGGTCCCAAATTGCAAATATCTGCCGAGAACGAGAACCGGCTCCGACGGCTGTTGCTTTATTCCGGCCGATCTACACAATCTCCGGCTCCAACTCCGGCAGAGGATGCTCTCTCTAAAGCACAGAAGGCCAAGAAACTTCGTTCTATTTACGAAAAGCTTTCTTGCGAGGGCTTTTCCGACGATCAAATCGAACGCGCTTTATCCGCTCTCAAGGTACTAATCAAGAAAATGTCTCCACTTACAAAGTTGAGTACTTAAATTCTCCTTTTTAACCGGTCAATTTCATCAAAGAAAAAAAGAATGTAAGTCTATTTGACAAAACATTGACTTCAAGTATTTGAATCAGTAATTTTTTGTATATGATTACGAAGGAGAGAGCTACGTTTGAAGCTGCTTTAGATTGGCTATGCTTGAATTTGCGAGGGAATGAGCTTCCTCTGAAGTTTTCCAGTGGTACTTCTCAATTGAATGAAGGTATTGATGAGAAATTTTTATGTTTAATTTCCAGAATTGGCAAGTGAGGAAAAGTGTTAGGATATAGAAAGTTAAGACACGTTCATACATGCATTTTGGCAGGTTCTGTTGGTATCATATCAACTGCCCGAGAAGATTGGGTTCCTTCAGCAGATTCATCTGTGGCAGAAGTTAAAGATGAGAGAAAACCTGAAGTTTCAGTTGTGCCAAAGGGTCGAAGTGATAGTGAATCTCTACGAACAGTCGAACGTGCACAAGCAGATTGGATCCGTCAGTATATGGAACAACAGGAAGAGGTATTTCTACTTGAAACTTCTAGTTCAACAGAGGGTTATGTAGGTTATGGGGTGAAACTACTGCAGTTTATCTGATTTCAGCTTTTTTGAATTTATCTGATTACAATGAAACTAAAAGGTAAATGAGAAAGGTTCTGCAGGGAAGTGCGTATGCCTAGTTAAACTGCATGCCTTTCTTCTACTTATTGTTTGGTTCCACAGCTAGCTGTTGTCACAGAAAAACTTAACTAAGGTACGCAATGACAGTGAAGGATAATTTTTTCATAAGCACAGTCAAGGATAATTGAAGAATTAGGGCATGAGTCATGACTTGGTTGGCATTTACGAAAACCGAGAATATGGTCTTGGAGAGTGCAATGTTATCAAAAGCAGTACTTGAAGAAAGAATACTACAGTATGTCATTTGAGATTTTTAGAGAAGCGAAATAGAAGGACATTATCTTTTCACAAAAAGACAGACATTTTACAGTTGATACTAGCAATTGTGTCTGGTTTAACGTCACCCCTTTTCCAATCAATGCACCGTGTAGTGTAGGATATGGCTGGATGCTGTACAAATCTCTCTTTAATCCCACTTGGATCAGAAGGAAATTACTCAATTTTTTAATCTTAAATTGCCCAATATCATAAATCTAAAAACCACTGAAATTTGAAGTATTTAACTCTGAGTCCGTACAATCTTCTTTTACTATGAGTTTGCAGGATGAAGCTGAAAGTTGGGAATCTGGTTTGTTTGACGATGGTTCTCTAGAGCAGGTAATGTCATGGCGACTTTTTCCATATTTTAACCCTAATAGAGCATTAGTTCATATGATATGTGTTACAGCCTCTTTAGACATGACTATCTGATGATGTATGTTTTCCTTTCCATTGTCCAGTTCATTGTTATATGTTTAGGCTTTAGATTGGGCTGGTGGGGGGAGTAGATATATGGTCTAAATTCTCCGAAAGCTTGTAATGCTATTTCTCTTGCGAGAATGACCTGTTAATTTTAAAGTTGAATCTTGATATAGTAACAAGTATTACCTTCAAGCATTTATCCTTTTTTCCTTTTGTATCAAACTGAATTTTGTCTATTCTACTGATGCAGAGTAGATATAAGGTCTAGATCCGTCAAGGACTCTTAATCGAAAAATCTGAAAAGCATGCTATTGTCCTTGATTCATGTTTTGTTGGTCAACAGGTCTCGCGAAAAAGGCGTAGTGTTGAGTCTATTGTCCAAGAATTTCATAATGCGAGGCTGGAAGCTATTCATGCAAAAGAGCGTGGTGACAAAAAGAGCCATGAACAAGTTAGCAGAACCATTCGAAGGATCAAGCAGGAGATATCTGCTCTAGGTGGGAAAAATTTCTATATTGGGCTTTCATTCCATTCCATTAGCAAGGTTGACTTATNGGCTTTCATTCCATTACATTAGCAAGGTTGACTTATGAAATTTACTATAGGACTACCGGATGATATCCTGGAATCTGCACATGAAAGTGCTTCCGACCATGCAGTGTTGGACACATCTTCAGAGAAGCTTGATGTTGATAATGTTCCTTCACACAATTTCAGAACGTCTCATGAACAGGAGATCGGAATTGATGAAAAGGTGGTTGTCAATAGCAGCTCCAATGAGTTCACTGAAAACAGTCCATCAAGTGGTCCTATAGATGATAAGGTGGCTCCAGGAGGAGAAGCAGAAGACGTAGAGCTTGGTGATTTCTTATTTGAAGAAGTTTCCTCTGCTGATGTGTCATCTACGATACTAGAACTGCAGAAGAAAGAAAAGATGAGAGAATTATGTAGTCAGAAAAACTTAGAGAAGTTAGAAGGTATATGGAAAAAGGTAAAAAATTGGTACCTGATCTGATGAGTTAGTTGTAAACTTTTCACTGTAGACTGTAGTCTAGACCTCTTTAGTAAAACCTAAAGATAAAGAAGATTTAGAGCTCCTCGTTTGATTTAAAGAAGGATACAACAGGATAAAGATGCCTAGTCAATAGTCTAATCTAATAGCTGTATCTAAATTGGGTGACTTCTTCTCGGTGGAAGGAATTATGTTTTCATTGTTTTCCTTTTCTATGTAATTACTTTGGCAGAAGAAGGTGTAATTGCCTCTAAGCTCTTAGCTTTTGAATATTATTGCACCTGAGGGTGTGGCCTGGATGTCAATGAGGTGGATTTTCACCTTGAAGACTAGGGTTCGAATTCTAGCCAAGACAAATAACGCTTGGTGATATCTTCCAATTTGCCTACACCTTGGTGGGCTAAGTTACCCGGTATACTGTGTTGGTGGGACATAGGAGGTACATGGTAGAATAGTTGAGGTGCGCCCAAGCTAGTCCGAACACCACCGTTATCCCAGGAAAAAAACAAAACAAAAAAGAAAAAGAAAAATTGGTAGTGTTGTAAAGGTAAACTGATGTTGGTAAGTAGGATTAACCTGTGTGGACCTGGCCTGCAGCCTGAAGTTAAATTCCCCCCTCCACTAGCAAAAATGTGAACTGTGGTAGACTTGTGTCTTCCCTTTTCTTCTTGAGGTCTTCTTGCTATTGTTCTTAAGTTTTTGTTCCTTCCTAGAAAGTTTTATAACTGTTGTCATAATTGCAGGGAGATCCACAAAAGATTCCAAAGGCTTTTCTTCACCAACTTTGTCAAAGATCAGGGTGGGAGGCACCAAAATATGCGAAAATATCTGGAAAAGGAAATAATTCACATTACACTGTTAGTATAATGCGCAAAGCCAGTGGGAGGGGTAAGAGCAGAAAAGCTGGAGGTCTAGTAACAATCGAGCTTCCTAGTCAGGATCATACTTCTTCTACTACTGAGGTAGCTTCTAATGCTTTATTGATACTGTCTATGCAATTATATGCCCATAAAAAAGAATGGAAAGAAAAGTCAATGATTATTGCACTAGTGCTGTTTGGCCGCTATGCACACATTTCAGATTATGGGTGTAAAATATACCATAATGGGTAGAAGTGTTGTAGTCACATGAAAATAGGAGTGTGTTATTTACTTATTTATCCTTTGTTTCTTATGAGATAGCAGGGAATATGTTTAGCTATATCTACATTGTGTTGAAGTGGGTGACCAATCATACTTTTATTATTTAGAGAGAGCATACTTTTATTATTTAATTATGTCTTCAACACGTCCCCTCACGTGCAAGCCTGGTTCTCTTATTTTTCATGGGCAAAGTACGTAGAGATTCTTTTTCTGATAATGGGTGGCGATGAGACTCGAACTTAGGACCTACTCTGCTACCATGTTGAAGTCTGTGACCATCTCATCTAAAGCTATTAGAGAGCATACTTTTATTATTTAATTATGTCTTCGACACATTGTTTGTCCCTCTAGTTTTGCAGACTGAATTCTTGGTCAGGCTGTGATATGTGAGGGCCCCTAGAACTGCACTTCTAAATAATATTGAAAATCTTTGGTGTTCTTATTTTACCCTTTTAACCTTTTTTTTAATTAAGCTCTTGATCAATTTCTCCAGAGTTTTTCCAGTTTGCCGTTTAAGCTTGTCCAGTTTGCACTTTGTCACTGCCCAAAACCACACTTCAATTCTTAACATGGTTGCAAGAAAGAAAAGGAAAATGTGAAATTATTGAAACATGAAGGGTGAAGTGACAAAACCCCACTTATTTTCCGACTAATGATGCTATTGAAGTGCATTATCCTGTTAAAACAAGAAAAGAAATACTGTTATAGGGAGCTTTTGCTTTCTGCGGCATAGGTATGTATTGGACTTCACCATGATGTGTTATGACATCAGGCTTAACCCCTTTACGGATTCTCGGTGCTTCTTAACCCCTCCGAGTGTTTAACCGATAGTTCATACAATGTTGGTAAGAGGCAGTTCATAGAGCTCTTAATTTCTCTTCTCTATTTGCTTTTCCCACGGTTGACAGGACTCTGCCATAATTGTGATGCCATTCTCTTATAGAAAAACATATGATAATTTTTTCCATAGGTCTTACTTAATCTGAAGGAATGACATAATTGGAACTTTGATGAACATACAATCTGATGTTGTAGTTTGGAATGATTAGGCAGGACATGTCGGTGCTTCACCTAACCGAGGACATGACTAGCCATAGGAAGGGGTGGAGGTCGAGGATTAAGGTGGTGGGTTGACAGGTAGTTGTGAGTTTCTCATTGGTTTACTAGTAGTACTAGTAATATTCTTGCAGTGGGTCGAAAGTTACTTCCTTCTTGTTAGTTATTGTATCTGGTACTTAGCAACCACGCCCTTTGTTTTTGAAAATTGCTATTGGGATTGTTGCTCCCTGATTATTACTATTTGATGCTACTTTTTCTCCCCTTTTACTGGATATTGTTGCTCCCTGATGGTTACTATTTGATGCTACTTTTTCTCCTCTTTGCTTATCGTATTTCTCCCCCCTCTTTCCTCTTCTTCTTCTCCCCTATTTTTCCTTTCCACCTGTTCTTGAGCTGAGGGTCTATCGGAAACAGCCTCTCTACCTCTCCAAGTAGGGGTAAGGTCTGCGTACACATTACTCTCCCCAGACCCCACTCGTGGGATTATACTGGGTATGTTGTTGTTGTTGTTGTAGTTTGGAATGATCAGTGGTCAAGTTTTAATAGAGCATAAAGGGAAAAATGGTAACTTCTGGGCTGAAGCTGCACATTTAACCTTTTTTTGGAAAGAAGAGATTGACTGAAAGGGAAACATTCCCTCTACAAGAGCTATATTTCAAAGGAAGCCGACAATGAGGGTGTTTGGATTGGCTTTTAAAAAGTAGCTTATAAGCTAAAAGCCAAAAGCCATAAGTTGGTAATACCCAACTTTTGACTTTTGGCTTATTTTTGTACTTTTATGCCTAAAGGTAAGTGCTTTTAAGCACTTTTTATCATTGCCAAACACCACAAAAACTAGAAAAGTGCTTAAAAGCCAATAAGCACTTAAAATAAGCCAATCCTAACAACCTCTATACCTGTTTGGAGAATCATTTGTGCACCAAAAGTATCTAAAATTAACACTCCGTAATTGAAATAATGGTCTGTTTCATCCCCTCAAAAGCCTTATGATTTCTTCCTTTTGGATAGTCCACATAATTGTTTGAGGGTCACACCCATGCTCTATTTTCTCCATTCTGCTTCTATCACCTCTCTTAAGCCATTTCACCAACCTGATTAAGAAAAGCCCTTATCACAAAATTCATGATGTAGCTTTCTGAAAGCAGAAATCTTGTCAATTAACTAAGCAATTGTCTTGGTTAAGCATATAAAATAAATTGGTATTTGCAGAAATTTGTTGTAAAAGAGTACTTGTTAACTTTTTTGTTAATTTGTTATGATTTTTTTGTTTTGAAATGTGAATCTAAACACGATTCTCTTCTTTTATGAACTCTGTTTTGCTCAGGATGCACAAAACAGAGTTGCAGCCTATGCTCTCCATCGCTTGTTTCCAGATCTCCCAGTTCACATGCCAATTACCGAGCCATATGCATCACTTATTTTGCAGTGGGAGGAAGGTGATTTTCTTACTTCACGTGCAGTCACATGTTTAATAGTGATATTATATTAAGCATTTTGATGCCTCAATTTTATATTTCACCCTGATCAAACTGGTCTCTTGTAGGCATAGAGCCCATAATTGATTATCTTATCTTTTTACTGCAAACCTTGCATGATAAACATTGCTCTTTTTTAATTGGTGAAACTTTCATAGAGGTAAGACACCCAATAAACTGGGTCCAGAGGCAAAACTAATGCTATAACTTCTTTGAAAACAAGAATAAAAATAAAAGGAATTTATTAAAAACAAATCCCACGAAAAAAGAATAATCCCTCCAAAATCTATTTCAACCCTTAAAAATGGTTTTGCTGAGCAATGCTAACTTATCACGATCTCTATCAGCATTTTTCAAACATGTAGTCAGCACTAACGGTGCAGACATCAATGTTCATGTTTTAGCTTGCTGCTCGTCTTCTTTCTCTTTTGTTAGTTTTTCTTTCCGTCGATCTCTCAGTGATTGCACGCTCTCATTCACAACCTGCAGAGCCCGGTTCTGTAACAGTTACATTCACAAGGTCTGATCTAATATTTCCACCTCTTTTATGTGCATGGTGGTCTTTTTGGGACAGGTGATTCCGTGATAGATATAGTGGATGATCAAGTGGAACGAAGGACCTATTTCGTGGATTCATTACTAGATGCCAGCGGTTCTGGAAACATAACTCATTGTGATGTCTCCAATAATGCTAGCGAAGAAAAGTTTTTAGAGCCTCACGCCACTGAAGATAAAACAGCGATTGCTGATTTTGCAGGTGAAGTATGCTTATGGATTTCTTTTCTGGTTTGCGTCAGGAAAACTTCAATATGTGATATATTTGCTTGAACACTGCAAAACTTTTGGCAACTCTTATGCAGCTAAGGACTGCTAGTTTTTGAAATTCTTTTTTGCTTTAATTTATTGATTTTGTGTCAACCATGGATCTAGATCAAGTAAGGCTGAACATTTTTTCTTTGGCGTTCACTTTGCTGTTCATTAGCTGGCAATAAAAGATTTATTCTGATGTCTATTGCAGTTCAATCTGTGCCCTTTTAAGTAGATTGATTTTCATTATTTCCTTCTTTTGGGGAAGATATAACTCATTGGCAAGAAAAGCAAAATAAGCGAACTACTTGTCTCGTGCTGGGGAAAATGAAAGTACCTCAAATAGATAATGCTTTCTGTTTGGGTATAGGTTCAGCATTGCCCTTAGGGAGGGTAAAGGGTGAGTTTTAGTTATTGACCGTAACATGATCTTGTATACCAGTTAGTTCTTGTTGGTTTGGAGGCATTAGGGAGTTCACTGCTCTTTCAGAATGTAAAAAGTGGTTTTGCTGACTAACCTCTTTGTTTTTCTGCAGACAGTAATCCAAGTAAAGAAGCAGAAAGTTTCTCTCTGAAAAAGGAGCAAGAGGGTAGAAAGAAGTTAAAGAAGTACCAGGTTAGAGTCTTCCTAGGTCCATACTATTAAAATTATGTTGTCGTTCATCTTGGGCTGCTTGTTACACTTTTAAATAGCTATATAGACATCACAGATGAATAACTCAGATTTGAATGATGGAAGAACTTGAAAGATGACAATGAATAAAAGGTAGAAAAAGATCCTGAAGACAGAAGAAAAAGAACCAGAGGGCTCTAGCGGTTGCAGTTGGAGCTCCATTTTACTTATACTGAGGGCTGTGATATATCTAGTCTTCATTTTCTTTTTTTTGGGTTGGGTGGTGGTGGTGGGGGTGGGGGAATTTGGATTTTGTTGCAAGTTAGGGTTTTCGATTAATATATGATTCTTTACAATATTTAGTTTTAACACAATTGATTACAACAACAACAGCAACAGCAACAACCCGGTGTAGTCCCACAAAGTGGGGTCTGGGGAGGGTAGTGTGTACGCAGCCTTACCCCTACCTTTTGAAGGTAGTGAGACTATTTAACACAATTGATTCTTTTTTGCTTTGTTATAGAGCTTGTCTGCAGCTTGCTAAACCTAGGTTGGTTTCTCACTTTTTCATGTTATTTCATTATTTGGGTTGAGCTTTCATGACTAACAATTGATCGGGGGCAGTTGTTCGCTGGGATTCTGAGGTTTCAGGTTATCAGCATTCACTGAAACGGTGGTCAAAGTGTATCCAGCCTTATATCATGCACTTCTGTAGGAGTCATTACATAGTGGCGTTCCTTATTTCCCTCTTTTCTCTTCATAATTTTGATATATTTTACCATTGATGTCATTTACCTCCTTATCTGCTTTAATTTGTGAAGATATTTAATTATGTCTTTCGTGCAGGAAATGTTGAAATCACGGGCTGGCCTTCCTATTGCTGACTTAAAAGGCAAGATTCTGCATTCACTGGAGGAGAATGATGTTTTGGTCATTTGTGGGGAAACAGGTTGTGGGAAAACAACTCAGGTGTTGAATTCATAAATTTTGCCTTTATATTTTCCAAATTACTTCAATGTTGCAGCGCGCGCGCTGCAGCTTTCACTTGTTTCGGTGCTACTAATTATGTGTTTTGGTCGTGTTTTTCCACTCTTCTGAGAACTTTCTTTCCCTAGTTTTAAGCAATGATCCTAGCTTGACACATTTTGTCAAATAAGGGTAATAGCAAATCAGTGCTTCTAATAGCCTGTTTGGCCAAGCTTTTCCAAAGGCCAAAAGTGCTTTTTTTTTTCTTTCCCAAAAACACTTTTTTTTCTTAACTTAAGGTGTTTGGCCAAGCTTTTTTGGGGAAAAAAAGTGCTTTTGGGAAGAAGCAGAAGCAGTTTCTGAGAAGCAGAAAAAAGTAGTAGCTTCCCAAAAGTAGAAGCAGAAGCAATTTTGACTTTTCTTCTTACCAAAAATACCCTTAACAAAATATAGTATATACCAAAATAACCGTTAAATGTAATACTTAGGATATTAATGTATAAGCATTTTTTCTTATTTTTAGGATAGTTTTCTAATATATAGGGACTTTAGGGGTGAATGATTTTATATTTGTTGAATGATTTTAATATATTTGAATAATATTAAAAGAATTAAAGTACTTTTTAATTTTATTTTCATATTTAACTTAAATAAAATGAAAAGATTTAATTATGGCCTATAATAACAAATTTTTGAGATTCTTTATTTACTTATAATATTAACTATTAAGTAAATCTATTCATGTCCTTATTCGTAATTTGATACTTAAAAGCACTTTTTGAAAAGCTTGGCCAAACACAAATTATTGCTCAAAAGTGCTTTTCAGAGTGATTGGCCAAACACAAACTGATTCTCTTCAAAAGTGCTTCTCAAAATAAGCTGATTTTTTCAGCTTGGCCAAACAGGCTATAATTCTCAGATAATGAACTAATAATAAAATAAAATTTAAAAACTCAAACAGTGAGCTGCGGAGAAGACCCTACTTAGCTAAACAGTTGCTAGAGAAATAAGTCGGCAGAAATATTATCCCAAATAAAGCTTATTGACTTAAGAAGTCAACTAAGATGGTTTTTATGTGCAATGGAGGGTATCTTGTAAATTTACATTCGTTTCTGGAAACACTGAAATCTTACATTTTGATTTTTGTAGGTCCCTCAATTTATACTGGATGACATGATTGAATCAGGACGTGGGGGACATTGTAACATTATATGCACACAACCAAGGAGAATCGCGGTCAGTGCTATCCTTCACTAATCATATATGTGCCTGCACTGGCTGAAACAGAGGCTCTGGAATTAACTTTTTTTTAACTTTCTGCTTATTTGATTCAAAATAAAATGTAATTTTCCTACGCACCTGTTCTACTGACATTCTCAACTTCTATGATAACACTTGTTACTTTGTATATCTTTCACGGAGATGCCAGTACTTTTGCATCTTTTAGCTGGTTGTGAGAGTGAAAACTGGACTCATAGGAAGTGACTATTAATGCTTTTGCAGCTTTTCGCTGATTGTGCGAGTGAAAAATGAATTCTAAGTTTTTGTTATGGTGGAACTACAAAAAACGAAAAATAAAGAATTTTTTTATTTGAATTGGTGGACAACATGGCTCCTTATTCTCATAATCAGTGTTTTAAAAGGCGTGGGCGTAAGGCGGGGTGTTTTACATATGCCTCAGCGAGGCGTAAGCCCCGAGACACGGGGCGTAAGCCCCATAGGTATTGCATAAAAATTGAAGAAAACTATAAATATGTGAAAAATATATATATAGATGTGTTCCATCCCCACAAAAAGCTAATCAAAATAATTTATTATACGCTACTTAGAAGCACAACTAACTTGAGTCGAAAAGAATAAAGTTTTCTAGATGGAGGACAAAAAAGATGATTAACCTGTAATTTGAACTTTGAACTTGCTGCTATGAAAGAGAATGGTGTTCTCTTTGTATTTGTTAAAAAATTTTGAATATTCATTGCTTTTGGGAGATATTAGCAGACTAGCGGACAAGATAAAGAATTGGGAAAGACCATGAATTAGGGCTTCAATCAATAAAAAAAGGTCTTGACTTTTAAATTTAATACATTTCAGTTCCTTTTTAAAACTTTTGAGTAATTACCAAGCTCACTTTTGAGAATTTGGGTATATTATAAAGGACTTATTTAATAAATTTTGTTTTAATTTGAAAAAGTCTCTGGGCTTACGCATCACTAAAAAAAACGCGCCTCAAACGCCCGGGCGTATGCCCCGAACGCCCGGACGTACGCCCCGAACGTCCGGACGTACGCCCCGAACGCTCGGACGTACGCCCCGAACGCCCGGGCGTACGCCCCGAATTGCTGGGCGTACGCCTCTTGAGACTTTCGCTCCACACATTCGCCTCGGGGCGTTTTTGGTGTGCCTCGCTCCAGGGCTCGCCCCGAAAACGCCTTTTAAAACACTGCTCATAAATAAAAAAACGTGGCCCTTATGTAGAATTCTTGAGCAGCATGAAATAAGGTAACTTTCATAATTATGACATAATCATTATGAATATACGACAAGTCGACAACTATATTCTTAATGATTTTCTGGACTTTTAGCATAATTATTAAGAATATTCCTCATAATAAACTATTCTATGATATTTAACACACTCCCTAAAACTCAAAGTGGTGAAACAACTCGAGTTTGTTTATTTCTAAACAAGTAATACTTAAAAGCCAGCGAGATAATAAGCAGTCACTGGAATAGTGTCCTGATAATTGTGAAGAATCACTAAAGAGAAGAGCTGGATTCTCTTTTTGGAGAATCGCTAACTTGCACATCGAAAGAAATTGCTCTTTGCAACACACAGGAAACAAATTTATTCTCAGTTACTGGAAAGAGATATGGTGATGCAAATCTTCTTGACATCATTAACATAGCTTGAATTTTCGGTCGAAGAGTAAGTGGAAAAGTTGCTGGCACAGTGATCAGAGAATTGTTGAACTCCCAGAGGAGTAATCAGATAGTGGGCAGAATAGGAAAGCTGTCGTCACAACGGCTTTTGGAAAGAGGCATGGTGGCCATCGACAATTGCTAGATGCCAAATTGTGAAGGAAGGTCTTTCTCCCTGCTCAGTCTAGTTCTCTTCAAAAGGCGGAGTTTAGAGCACTATCAGCAATCTTTGGGGTGAATACAGCCAGTTTGTACAGTTGAAACTGGGGAATGGTAATAATACTCAATTGTGGTCTGATGTATGGCTTGGAATGAAAGCTTAAGAGCAAAATTTCTAGTTTTATACAGCTGTTCCACAAATCAAAATGGGAGAGTAGCGAGATTTTTATTCAAGCAATGGTTGGCAGCTGATCTTGGGAGGGGTCTCAATGATGGGGAAGTAGATGAATTTGCTCAGTTGATGCAATAACTGGACACTGTCAGTTTGGAGGATAACAGGAGAGATTCATTGATCTGAGCAGCAAGCAATGATGGAAATTTCACATTCAGCAGATGTTTTAGTCTGTTACAGAAACAACAAGGGTTATATGAATCAGAATGGCCATGAAGAGCAATATGGAAGACAAAAGCACCTGTTAAAGTTGCTTGTTTTGGATTGGTTGCAGCAAAGGAAACTTGCCTAACTCAGGAGTACCTGCAAAAGAGAGGAATACTGTAAGTAATAGATGTTATATGTGTTGGGAGCTCTTCCGAAATATGTCAAGTGGGCAATGCCCCCCAGAGTAAAGAGCTTGTTGGAGACATGGCAACTCCAAAGAACGGCAAATAGTCAACAATCAATACGGAGAACAATCCCTCTATGAGTTTTATGGACAATATGGCTGGAAAGAAACAGGGTCTCTTTTGAAGGGAAAAGGAAACATATATCCAGGATTAAGAATAGATGCTTATTAAATTTGTATCTCTGGTGTAAAAGAAGTACTAGGGAAAATATGGAGCAATACATGGATTTTTTAGAGGAGATAGGAGATATGTAGTTGCCATGTTAACGGTAGATGCTGGTCTTTTGTAACTACTACCATCTTGGTAGTTGGTACCTTTTATTAATAAAATCTTACCTTGTTAGAAAAAAGGATTAGTGTTGTAGTTAGTTGAATTGACGGTAAAGAATATTAGTTGGACTTCGTGAAGCACTCCAATTTAGAAGAAGTGTATCACATCAAGGACAAGGCTAATTTGAGCTCTTGTATATTGAATCTCCTACCACATTATACAAGAACCGATCATATTAGAAGCACACATGCATGGAGCTCAGAAATTAGGGTAGATAATTTTTTCTTCTTTTTATTTTTTTTGNTGGGGTGGGTGGTGGGTGGGTGGGGGTAGATACTTGTCAACCACTATTTGAGATTTTCTCTGTTGGTTTAGCTAAGATTGGATTCTCTTCCTCTTCATTTTTGTTTGTCATTAGGCAATGCTTTCATCTTGCTCTTTACACCTGCATATCATGTTTTCTCTCACTTAACAAGATTGCTGATTGTCATTTTCTCTTTGCTAGGCTATTTCAGTGGCTGAAAGAGTTGCTGATGAGCGTTGTGAATCTTCACCAGGTTCGAGTGACTCCTTGGTTGGTTACCAAGTTCGCCTCGATAGTGCAAGGTATTGCTTCCCAAAGTCTTCATTTATAAATGACAAGAACACTTTTCCCAACAAAAAAAGGATACAGAATCATGAAATTGGATGTCATGTTGACTCAAAATTTGCTCATGTTTGGAAATTGATTTATATTACTTTTTTAGCTAGAGGAAGCTACCATTGCTTAATAACATCAGTCATTTATCTCTAGGTGGCTGCATGTATGGATTATGCATTATCATTTCACTTGGTTTGTGCATGATCATCTCAGTTCGATCACATTAAATAAGTTATAATCAGGTCTACCATGCATGGTCATGGGAGGAGTAGGAATACAAATAAGACATTGCTCAGTGGATCGAGAAATAGAAGGATTTAGGTCTCGAACTTAAGGACAATCGGGTTCACATGGATAGCCAATTTTGTGCATAAATGCTCTGCTACTTTTCCTGCTGATTCATGTTTCCGTAGATTTCATTAAGCATCCAAACCTGTTTTTGCTTATCTATTTATGGGTCTGGTTGTCATCATATAAAGACATGGGAATCTCCCATCAGTTGTCTACCCAGAATAAGTATCCTTTGATACTCATGCTTTAAAAACTATAATTATCATTAATACTGAAATATCATAATGATTCTGTTATTCTCTTGTGATTATTATATCAAAATATCATCTATTAATTCTTCATTCTCTTTTAGGAATGAGAGAACAAAGCTCCTCTTTTGTACAACTGGCATTCTTTTGAGAATGTTTTCAGTAAGTCGCCTACTAATTATTGCATGCATACTGACTGCAATATTCTGTGTTTTGAATTTGTTCGTCGTAATAATATACTTTGCCCACTTTGCTTTTTTAAAATAAAAATAAATTAGCAGAATGTCAAAATATTAACCAATAACTTTTGGTGCTTATATTAAATGTATTATTTTACAGGGAAATAAAAACTTGGCTGGTGTTAGTCATATCATTGTTGATGAAGTGCATGAGAGGTCTCTTCTGGTGAGTTTTTTGTGCACTGGATGACATTGTTGATGAATTGTGGCTACCAACTATATTTTATTGTTAGTTAATTGCCACTACTAAAGACAAGAGGGGTTGCTCTGATGGTAAGCAGCCTCCACTTCCAACCAAGAGGTTGTGAGTTCGAGTCTCCCCAAGAGCAAGGTGGGAAGTTCTTGGAGGGAAGGATGCCGGGGGTCTATTTGGAAACAGCCTCTCTACCTCAGGGTAGGGGTAAGGTCTGCGTACACACTACCCTCCCCAGACCCCACTAAGTGGGATTATACTGGGTTGTTGTTGTTGTTGTTGTTGTTGTAATTGCCACTACTGGCTTATAATATAGATCAGGCTATCAAAAACTTGACCTCATGAATATGAAAGCATGTTGTTTAGATCCTTTCTTATGCTGATTCCCATGACATTAGGTACCTACTAATGGTGGCCGACTAGATATAGACCATTGTTGTCCGGTTGGTTATACATGTTGAAAGTTTGAGGAAAGAGGATAAGATAAACCAGGGAAATGCATGACATAGTCTCTAAACTAGTATCCATTGTGATAATTGGTTACGTCCATACTAAATCATTGTCCTTTTTGTTTTCTGATAAGGTAGATATTTTTATTATGATGGGAAAATATCTCGTATACATATACCAAAAGGTAGAGAACCTACAAAAGAATATGCTCTCCCAAAAGATACCCAATATTTTTAATACAATTATACAAATCAGAACCTCATGGGTGCAGTGAAAGAGATGAAAAATGAGAGGAATAAAAGAGACGAGAAATGAGAGGCTATTCTCTTTGTAGAAGTTCTCGTATTCCTTTCTTTTCGTAAGACCCACATGAGTGCCAGTGGGGCAATATCCCACGTCCCCTTGTCTTCGCTTCTTCTTCTAAAGGTCTATCTGGATGGTGCCTCCTTCACTGGGCTCGATCGTCGTCCATTGTATCTCGAACCATCTCAGGATCTCTCACCAGTCACCACAGGCGAGTTGCATCCTGACAATGCAAGAGGAGATGTTCAAGTCTTTTCTTGTTTTTTCTTTTTTGCATATAAAATGCACGGTGACATGTAAATTTCTTTCTTGCTGCCAACCGGCTAAAAATGCATGCCTTTCTTGGTGCCCCACGAATCCAAATTGACAAGTGCAGGAACCCTGACTCCATGCTGGGTAAGACTTATGGTAATATGATTTTACGAAGAACCATAAAAAATGGTTCTTGTATGTATAGATGAATGGGTGGCTTTTGTAGTGAAACATATTTTGATCTTGGTCTCGCTACTTTTTGGTATACTTCTTGTATATGGGGATTTCCCCAACATTAATAAAAATATTCACTTTGTTAAAAAAGCAACAACAACAACAACAAATCCAACGGAATCCCACAAGTGAGGTCTGGGGAGGGTAATGTGTACGCAGACCTTACCTCTACCTTATGAAGGTGGAGAGACTGATTCCGATAGACCCTCGGCTCAACAACAGTGAACTACACAAGGGTATGCATACTGTAAAGAAGTAATCAAATGACTTCATCGTGGGGCGTTAGGAGAATTTAGAAGAAAGGACTGTTTGCTCACTGCATATTCACTAGATGACTAGGACCATCAAACTGAAGAGGGAAAGAACACTTTTTGCTGTGGTCTACATTATATACAAGAAATCTCAGATTCATCCTCTTTTTTTGTTGTATATTAATGGATAAATAAATTTGGAAACCAGTTGGAAGAAACACTAACCTCTATGCACAACAGGGTGATTTTCTGCTCATTGTCTTGAAGAGTCTCATCCAGAAGCAATCTGCCCTTTGTACGGCAAAACTGAAAGTTATACTCATGTATGGTTTGGTTTCATTTATAAATATCTAGTAGCCATTCTCTTGTTCTATGTCCTTTTTCATATTTATGACTGTTCATGGTGGAATTTTGTTTATTTTACATTATTTAGGTCTGCAACAGTAGATTCACATTTGTTTTCTCATTACTTCGGTCACTGCCCTGTAATTACTGCTCAAGGACGAACACATCCTGTTTCAACTTATTTTCTCGAGGATATTTATGAGAGTACCAACTACCGCCTTGCATCCGATTCTCCCGCTTCTTTGAGCTATGGGATATCTACTAGGGAAAAGGTATTTTTACCTGCCTTATTGACATTTTAGATGGACTGAAATTTGAAATTGTCTTTCTTTGCCAAATAATGCTCTCGTTGGCAATTTCTGGCTTCTGCTTTGGACCTGTTTTGAAGTCATCTCTTATACCAATCTATACTTTTAGCTTCTAACTAATCTCTGATCAAAATCCATTATTAGTAGCGAATGGATCAAAATAAGTCATCTCTTATACCATCATGAGTGTTGCTCTGGTACTGACTTACAGTTGAAGTAGATCTTCCTGTTATTGACTTGAAGTTCAATGTGTTAGCTTTTTGTTTATGTAGCTCGAGAGCTTCTTATATCTTCTAATGGATGACTGCAGAATGCTCCTATTGGCAATCACAGGGGGAAGAAGAACCTTGTCCTATCTGGATGGGGTGATGAATCGTTGCTCTCTGAAGAATACATAAATCCCTATTATGATCCCAGTAATTATCAAAACTACAGCGAACAAACTCAAAAGAATTTGGTAATTGTTTCTTAGAAGTTCCTGTTCATTGATGCAAATTAAAATCCTAAAACACTTTACTGAAAGAATACCGTTAATAACCATTTGTCAGAGGAAATTGAATGAAGAAATTATTGATTATGATCTTCTCGAAGACCTGGTATGCTACATTGATGAAACATACCCTGAGGGTTCTATACTGGTTTTCTTACCGGTAAGTCCATCAATTAACACTTAAATTAGGTTTTGATTTCTCTTTCTGAGTTTTATGCCTGCATAAAAAAGGAAGAATGACTTGTGAAATATATTCTGCTGCAGGGGGTTGGGGAAATACATACCTTATATGATAGACTGTCTGTCTCCTTCCAGTTTAGTGGACAATCTTCTGAATGGATTCTTCCTTTGCATTCTTCTGTAGCATCCGAGGATCAGAAAAAAGTGTTTATGAGACCTCCAGAAAACATCCGTAAGGTAATGCTTTCTATTTAAGCTTAGGTTCTTTCGCTGTAGACATTTATGCTATCTGATTCCACTGTATGCATCTTATCTTCTTAGTTTGGGTTCTTTTCCGCCCTGCGCTTTTCTGTTCTCTTTCATGTGTTGGTTATACAGTGTCTTTCTTGAGTTATTAATCTGCATTATTGTCTGAACAAAATTAAATGAACTAATACTGGAAGATGGTAAATTGCTGTTTCCCTGTCTGTAGTGCAGGGATTCATTTTGATTATTTATTTCAAATGATTTGCCCTTAGAAAATGCTTGAATGGAACAGATGCTTGGGTTTGCAATATGCCTTCTACCAGAACCAGCAATTGGACTTCCTTTTGCTATTACACATACCAAGTAGAAGGGATATGAAGTCTTATAGACTTTTAGCTGAGAAAGAAACTTCCCTTCTTTGCATATCCTCTCATTGACCTTGCAATGCTCTAATTGCTCTTGCAATCTAGCACCCTAGATCTTGTACTGATTGTTAATACCCGAGATTCACATTCTTTAATTAAAACCTATGTGATGAAGCCAACAAGCTTACTGTCTTCATCCTAGATCTCCCATGTTCTTACTGCTATGTCATTATTCAAGTACTCGCTGCTCTGCTCCTACAGAGGCCTCATCCAACAATTACTACTTTTCAGCTTTCGTTGGCGACTACCTTTCAATTTGCATCAAAACCCTTGTCTACTGACATAATTCATGTTTGATCTCAAATGATATGATTAGCGCATTTATCCTTCTGGTTGCGTGACTGGTACATGATATAATAGACTTCAATTTAACTCTGTTTCACACCCCTTATTATTAAGTAGTGCCAGTATGACATCCTTTTATTGTTACTGGTACTATCTTCATAGAGAGCCGAAAAAGGGTAACCTTTTGAACTCTTAAAAATTGAAAGTTAGAACTTCAGTTTGAATGTTGAAGCTGCTTGGGTGAGTTTCTTCTCTCGAGTTATTCAGCAAGAACACATTTACAACCATGTGGTGCATGATATGAAGAATGGAAAGGTCCAACATGGAACAAGCTATGTTTATTTGGTCTTATTGCAGAAAATGCAGAACATCATTCTACCTGTCTAGATATGCATGCTCATCATTTACTCCATGAGTCCTTGTTGGACCTTACTTGCCTTCACTTGATAGTTGTGCGGAGAAAAACCTCTTCTTTGTCATCACCATTTTGTTTATTCTTAAGTGATTAATTTGCTTATTGTTCTGTATTTGACTTGGGAAGTATCTCTTTCAGGTTATAATAGCTACAAATATTGCAGAGACTAGCATAACCATAGATGATGTAGTTTATGTGGTAGACTGTGGAAAGCACAAAGAAAATCGCTATAATCCAAAGAAGGTAGGTTTTCTACTCTCTTTCGTAGCTAATGACAAGGCTGATTATTTCAGAAGATTGTTGTCTCAAGCGTATGGCAGCTTATGTTGCATGTTTGCTGCTCTGTACTACAATAATTAATGTAAGGGTCCCACCCCCCATACGGTGTCATGCTTCTACATGAAATATATCTAACATTTGAAATATTTTATTTTATCAACCTTTTTAGACTTCTCAAGTTCTGACCCGGCAATACTAGTGTTACTACAACTCCATCTTCAATCTTAAGTTTTCTCTGCCATTTTTAGATTTTGGTGTGTGAATTTGAAATTGGCTGCGAGACATGTTCAGCATTGCGATTTGGATAGAGAAATATTTGTCTATAGATGGCTATGAGCCTATGACTAGGTCCAGAAGCATCAGCAGAAGAAAAGTTTCAACTCACACATGTATTGTCATCTCTGTTAGGTAAATTGTTAGTTTACAGTAGGGCTGGCAAGTGGGCCGGTCCCGGGCCAAGTGGGCCGGTCCAAACGGTCCCAGCCCCGGGCCGGCCCAAATTAAACGGGCCCGGGCCTAAACAGGCTTTTTCTAAGGACCGGCCCGGGACCGGGACCGTTTGGTCCCGGGCTAAACGGTCCCGGGCCGCGGGCTAAGTGGGCTAAGTGGGCCCAATATATATATATATATATATATATATATATATATATATGCACA